CGCCGTTTTTGGCGAGCTCTTTCTTGAGGGTCCTGGGGGAGGGCAGGGCCCAGTGGCCCTTGGTGCCCTGGCTGTCCGAGCAGTTGAGGGTGGTGTCGGAGGTGAAGCAATGGCTCTTGGCCTCCTGCAGCAGGCTGCCCTCGCTGTGGGTCCGGCGCCGCAGGGAGCTCTGCACGCTTAGCGTGTAGACAGGCTGACAGCCCGACGTCTCGATCATGCTGCTGCGCTTCGCCTCGTTCCTCTCCAAGTAGTGCTCGTCGCTGTCCTCCTCCTCCTCATTCTCCTCATCGTCATCTTCCTCTTCCTCATCCTCCTCCTCTTCCTCATCCTCGCCATCTGTGGTGCTGCCCACCATGCCCGCCACACTCTGGCTGAAGGTGCTGTCGAGCCGCAGCTCAGGGATGACAAAGGCTGCCAGGGAGCTGGGCTGCTCCTCTCCCTTTTCAGTGGCCACCGGCTGCTTTTCTGCCAGGAGAGGATCCTTGGTGGCTCCCAGAGCCTCCCACGGCTCAGCCGGAGCCGGTGCCTCTGTGGCCTGAGGAGCGTCACCCGCTGCTATCTTCCCATCCTCCGAGTGCATCTGCCCCGGCTTCTCAGCATCCGTCTCCAGCATCTGCCCAGAAGAGAAGATAAAGAAGGATGAAGGCAGAAACACCCAAAATCTCTCACTGGCCACCTTCCTGGGGAGTCTTTCTGCTCCTAACACCCCGACCACAAAGCTGGCACCAATCTGTACAGCCCTAACAGTGCTCCGGTGGGGTGGGACAGCATTGTCCCCACATCCCCAGGTGGGGTCAGGTCGCCCATCACTCCCACAGCACCCAGTCCTGGTCCTGATCCCCAGAGCACCGGGTTCCCCCACCAGCAGCGAGCTGGTGGCTACGGGGCAGGAGTGGGATGCGATCACCCAGCTCCCACCTCCAGCACCCGGGAGCACTGGCAGGTTTGGAGGAAACAAGGGGGGCTGATCACCCCGGCGGCCCCGCCGGCACAGATGGGCTCAGCTCCAGCTGCAGAGGCAGAGCCGGTAACATCATCCTTACCCGCATGGCTCCACCATCCCCCTGGGAGCTGCTGGGGAGGTGGGGGCTCAGCCTGCAGACATCAGGGCAGCAGAGAAAACCAGCAGCTTTCATCCAGCAGCCCCGGTCCCTCCTGCACCGCATTTCTGAATGCGGAAGGGAAGCGCCAGGCTCTGCCCATCTGTGGGTTGCCCAAGCTCAGCCTGGTCATGGCCACAAGCGGCTCAGCCCGTCTGTGCTGGGTGCCCTGGCTGTGGGGCTCCCCACGGCCGCCTCGCCGTGCCCTGCGCAGACGGGGCCCTGCAAAACCACAACCGCTCCTACCAGTCCCTTTCAGGTTTTTATGCCTTTGAGGCTCTTTTTTGCCAGCTTTCCTCTGCAGGTGGGAAAGGCCTGAGCAAGCTCTGCCCTTTCAAAGGGAAAAGCCAGGAGTAGCCCAGGGGAAAAAAACTCCCAAGGTTTTTTCGTGAGCAGGGGGAGCCTGTGATGCGCTCCGCGCCAGAGCTGGGTCCTCTCTTCCGTAGGCTTTTCACTTTGCACAGAGTCTGTCTAAATCAAAGGGGTAAAACCAGCTCAGCAGGGGAAAAAGGCAAAGCAGAGAAAAATCCTCCCTCTGGGAAGCCCTGCCTACCTACGCAGACCCTGTAGGGCTGGGGCAGGGGTTATTACACAGGACCAGTAAGAAAAAATGTCACTGTATCCCCAGTTAAGGTCCAAGCATTTTCACAAGCCTGATGGCAACCAGAAAGCTGGAGTTAACAAAGCCAGCACCTCTGTATAAATTAGGCTGACTTCAGCTTCAAAAAAGGCAGCAGCCCCAGGAATCAGCCCATCCAGCCTCACATCCCATTGGGAAGAGGCACCCATGGAGCGGACAGAGGCTATATCCCTGCGATGGTCCCGGCTTGTGACCACAGACCCCTGCAAGCCATCCCCTGGGACAGCCAACCTGCTGCTAAACACCTCCTTGCCCTGCAGAGCCAGTGCACATGGATTATAACCCACCACTGGATATCACCAGGGAGCTGTACGCAGATGTCGGGCTGCAAAAGCTGCTGTCATCCCCTGGAAATACCCTGGAGGTGTTTAAGCCCCAGTTTTGGCACCATCCGCTCTGCACAGGGGATGGCACAGAGACCGCAGAGCACCCAGCAGCACCCACAGGCACCCATCTGAGGTAATGGGTCCAAAAAGTGGGCCAGATTTCCAAAAAGATGCTGGAGTTCAGCGCTGCAGCCAGCTGCCTCCTGCGCAGCACGCAAAGGAGCTCACCCACGTCCGCCTGTGCCTTGTCCTTTTTTATCATGCCAAAAGGACCCCCTTTACACCTACGAGCATGGAGAGGGCCGGCTCTGGCCCTTCCAGCCTGATTCGCTGCAGGCGGTGATTTAGCATCACCTGAAGACTAAAATTCAGAGACCATCCTGTCCTCAGCCTCATCTGCAACGTCTGCCCCGTCCCCGAAACAGCTGGGTTTGGTGGGACACACAAAGCGAATGCTGAGTGTACCCCATCCTTGGGGCTGTTTCACCCCCACGTGGTAATTTCTTGTAAAAAGGGAATGTTTCCAGACTTGCTGTACAAGGATGCTATTTGCACCAGCGTGTGTTTTAATGATGCTGTTTATGTCTTATTTGTATTGCAATCACCGTCATCATTATTTCATGAAATAATTAGACGAAAAACCCACACAGCCCTCAATTTACTCCCCACAAAGCCCTCCCCCTCCTCAACAGTTCCCTATCTGTCCAGTCCTTCTGCTTAATATTACCGGTTACCTACATCAGATAAGGCCCTAGTAGGAAATGAACAGGCTCCTTTAAGATGAGAGACATTTGGAGATTAAATTAAAACCCTGCACTAATTTAATCAGAGACTCTGATGCTCTTCAGTGGCACAGAGGGTATGAGCAGGAGCCTCACCACCAAATGAGGTTTCCATCTCGGATTAAAAGCATCACCGGGGCTGTGAAATCCTGTCCTCGTGGGAAGGGTCATGGCTGAGCTCTGCTAAACATCACCTGATGGTGGGGGAAAGCCAGGGAAGGAAAGCGGCAGTAACGCCGTCACGGCCAGCCAACAAGCCTGATCGTGGCTGGAGGCACCAGGGACTCCATCAGCACAAAGCCAAGGGCCACCTTGCTGCACAAAGCTGATTTGGGCCAGCAAGGACAGGGATGGGACCAGGTTTCCTTCTCACCATCATCGTGGGCAAGGGCTTGCTGGAGGAGGCAGCAGATGGAGGCAGTGCTGATGCTGTCTGAGCAGGGAGGTGCCATCCTTCCACCTCAAGGACTCATCCAAAACATCCTGTGGTCTTGCTGTAGCATGGATCCCTCTCTCATGGCCAGTAGCAGCTCAGGAGCCAGAGGCCAACATCTGGATCTCTCCATCCTCAATATCTTGATCTCACAGTTCCCAATGTCTGGGTCTCCTTGCCCTCAACATCTGTGTATCCCTATCCTCAATATGCAGGTTTCCCTGTTCTCAGCATCTGCATCTTCCCATCCTCAACATCTGGGTCTCCCTGGGCTCAACATGTTGGTCTTCCCACTCTCAACATCTGGGTTTCCCTGTCCTGAGCCGGGAAGGCCTAGGGGCTTTAACTACATCCTCCCTGAAGGCCCTCACTTCATTGTTTCAGTTTCTATCATCTCAGACGAAGTGGCCAAGGGAGCATGTCCCAAGAAGGGGAAGAGAAAGTAGAAGGAAGAGCTGCCTCCGAGCCCCAGGATGGCTATCAGGGGTAATTTTAGAGAAGGAGGTGATAGGTCTGAGATCAGAGCAACAGCAATAGAGTCCATAACACTGATTTCCCCATTGAGCAAGCCTCAACACACCCCAAAAAAGCCAAACATTGCCCTGCCTGTTCCAGCATCCTCAGTCTCTGCACCTGTAACCCGCTGCCTGGACTCCCTCGGCCTTTGGGCATCACTCACTCACTCAAAAGTTTTCTTGAAACCAAGCCCGGGGAGAAGTACCGCAAACCCTCTGCTCTCCAGTCTGTAATTTGTTCAGCTTTTTGCTAGTTGCTGCTAGCAACTACAACTGTTCTAGTTTGCCAGCAGAGCAAATTTTAACGAACAGATGCGGGTTTGTCAGCGCGGCCTTGACTTCTCCAGTATTTCTTTAAATAACGTGCCCTTTCTGGTGGCCCACAGCTGGGACTTCCAGCTGGGAAAACACCAGCCCCAGAGACGGCACAGCTGTGAGCTGCAGCCTGCACTGGCCTTCCCCTCAGGCTGCCAGCTCTCACCCTGCCAGAAGTGCCGTGATACGAGGCATTCCCTTCAATCCCCAGCTCTGGGGGGTCAGGGATTTTTTTAAGGCGCTCAGCTTCTTATTTCAAAACCTCTTCTCCTCGCACTCATGGAGCCACTGTGGCTCAAATAACACCTGGACGCAAGAAAATTGAATTCAGCCTTTCCTGGCTCCTGATGTGGATGCTCAGGTTTTGCAACACACATCTTTCTCTTGTGGTAATACCGGGGAAGAGGAGGCTAAACACACCTAGGAGAACTGCCCTGCACCCAGGCAGCTCCTCAGCCAGAATCAGGGATTGGGAAAAGCAGGAAAGTCCCTGCAGGTAACAGACTGTTGGACATCGAGATGAGTGGGAGAGCAAAGGACATGCTGCTCCAACTGTGCTCTCACCCTGGGAGGAGTTAATGGACCTCCTGAGATATCGCTGGAAGCGCTGCTCTCATGGGCTGGCCCCAGACCATGGCAGCCCCATCCTCCGTGCATCCCATGGAAGAACTTCTCTGGGTCCTGCTGCCTTTAAATCTACCTCTGCTCAAAAGTGCCTCAGCTGTCCCCAAAAGCATTTAACTCCATGGAGATGAGACCAAGTCCCTCTCCAGGGGGATTCTGGAGAGGATGCAGCCAGCTTTGCTACTGGCAGTGCGTCCCCTGTGCAGAGGTAACATCCCTCCCCAGGGCAGATGGGATGTGGGGAAAACAGCACCTACATCACCCAGGGAAACATCAATGTTTCCAAAGTAGGTTTTGCCTAAAGTGAAAGAAAAAAATTAGTTTCAGTTCTTAGCATGGGACAAACTGTGCCCAGATCCATCAGATCAGAAACGTCTAACTGGTCCTGTGAAATGCTACCGAAACCATTGGTGATGAGCACCTCGAGACTTAAAAAGGGACCACTGAGAACCAAGAAAGCACAGGGCTACAGGAAGCAGCATCTAATCACAGAAACGCAGAATCATTGGGGTTAGAAAGGACCTCTGGAGATCCCCCAGTCCAACCCCCCCTGCCAAAGCAGGATCACCTACACCAAGTAGCACAGGAACACATCCAGGCAGGTTTTGAATATCTCCAGAGAAGGAGACTCCAATACGCAGCACAGGGCTGAGAAGAAGAAAACAAAGCCAGAAACACAAAGCAGAACTACTGAAATTTGAGAAAATTTTCCTGGGAGTCATTTTGAAAGTGCTTACGAGGAGCATCCTCCAAGCAGCTCCGCTCCTTGCCCTCCTTGAGCCGCGGTGGCTCTGTGGGGCCGGCTGGAGCCCAGGGCTCATTGCACAGCGAGGATTTCTACCCATTTCCTGCTTCATTACTGAATCAATGAATAATTG